AGTGTGACTCCGCATAATACTGTATATTATTAAAAATACAGAATATGTACTATATTTTCCAGACTATAGGTTGCTTCACAGTGTAAGTTAAATGAGTCAAAAAATGCATCTTGGCGTGGAAAAAACACCTAACTATAAGTCACAAGACCAGCCACTATGCTGAGAAAAACAACTTGTCTGAAAAAAACAATACATTTTATTCAGCTGTGATGAAGAAGGCATGCATCAAAAAGATGCAGGATGTTAGTGCAAGTTTAAAAATAGAAAAGAGGGAGAGACCAAGCACAACAGTGTCCACAAGATGCAATCTTTGTTCTTACAGGAATTACAGAAAATGCAAAGTACCACTAAGTCTTTCCCTTTCCTCAATAGGGAATTGGTTTACAATCCAGTAGCAAATCGCAAACAGATGAGTCTTGGAAGATTCCACATAGCATCACATGAAATAGTCACATTCTACTGACATCAAAGTTTGGCCTGACAACCTGTGGACTGGAAGACAATGGGCGTCTGCAGCATACCATTTGGTTGTGGGGTGTAAAAGCAGGATGACCTGCGTGAAAACAACATCCTCTCATGTTCCAGGTAGTTCTCCATGACTAGACCTGGGCATCCCTGTCCTACTTTGAGTAAATTCCTTCCTTTCTTGTGTACTGTCTTCCTTCCTTGTGACCTATGTCCATTCTTTACAACTGTCCTTTCGGGTTTTACTCTTTTTATCATCTTTGATCTTTGCTTCCTTTCTTTGTCCTTCTTTCATTTCATGTACTTTGTCTCTTACTCTTATGTCTTTCCTTCCTTTGTCAAGTTTTGCTTCCTTCTTTCTGCAGCTTTTTCTGCCATGTGTCCTATCTTCTTTCCCTCTTTTTCACCTTCCCCCGTTCCTTCTGTCCTCACTTTTCTCTTTTTGTGTCCTTTCTACCTTTCTGTTTATGATTTATGCCTGTTGTATATTCCTTGCTAAAATTAACATTACAACAGACTGAAAAGTCTGGAAAGGTTATTCAAGAAAAGTAAGAATAAAAACACATAAAAACTGTGTAAATAAACCTTGTCTATTGTACATATGTTCCTGTTCTTTGCTGGTTTTTCAACAACCATTTAGCACCTCAGTCTAAATGGTTATCATCTAACCTGGAAAGTAAACCTCTAACCTGGTCTTGAGTCTTTTCCTGCTACTAAAAGAGTTAAACCACATTATCCTCCTTGTTGACTCTGACAGCTTCCATGGTTTTGACAAAGAGTACCATCCCCACAGCATGATGCTGCCACCACCATTGTTAGTCGGTCCATGTTTAGAAGGGTGTCTTGGCGTCTGTTCAAAAGATAGATATCTCAGAAGAGATCAAACGTGAAGACGGTCCCTTTGATGTTTATGCCTTCACTTGAGGGACTAAACACTCACTGCAGTTCTTACTTTGAACAGAAGAGGGTAGCTGCTGAGAAAATCTGATTGTATTCAACAACTCCAACAACAGAAATTGACTTCATTTTGAAGTGAAATGCAACATTTTTGTAACTAATATTCTTTCTGCGTTTATGTTCAATCATGCATGTGCGCTGAAACTCTCCATGACATGGCAGACATGTAGTATCACAGAGTAAAGATATTTTCCTTTCATATTTGACACAATTTAGTGATTCAAGCATATGACTATAACTGTGTGAAAATGATTTTAAACACCATTTTTTATATAATGTCTGGATTTTAACTCAAAGACAAAGTTAATTTCCATTTCTGCTGAATCAAAGCATCACCACAGCCTGATGCTGCCACCACTATGTTTTACTAACATGTGAAATGTTAGTCTGGACATCAGACTCAGTGTTTTAAGATATTACTTACCATTATTTTGCAGTTTAATTCCATTTATTAACTCGAGCATATGAGTTTAACAATGTGATATTAATGTGAGTAAAACATATTTTTGTCATAAAATTCATATAAAAGTCTTTAGCGTTCAGATTAATGTTAAAGTGTAACTCAGCCACACAATGATAATTTACAACAATAATATGCCCAGTGATTTGTTCTTTATTGCATTGTTTAACAACTCAGAGGAATGGATTTATTTTCCCCCTGATTTTACTGTCAAACACAATCTGTGATACAATAAAGCAAAACTCTTTATAGTTTAAAGCCAAGCAGTTTCTCTAAAATATGATTTGTGCTGGTAAAATGAAACGAAAGGGCTACGCTGTGTGAGGAAATTGCTCAGCTAAGTGACTTTCCCCCCTCTCACATTGCCAAGCAGCATCTCACTATATAAATAGCCATTGTCAGGAACACACATCAATCTTGGCATGTACCACCACAGAGCCAGAAGGCGAGTCGTTGTAGACTGCTGCTACCAGTCAGAAAATGGGCCGGGCTTGTCTCCTCCAGCCATCCTCGCTCTGCACGGTTGAGGCACAAACTGTGGCCATTGTTCTGAAGACTGGCTACTTTCATTAGAGAAGTCATTAAAGGAATTACAGGAGCTCGGCTATAGATTTTTTCCCGGGATTATTGTGCTCATATTTCCCTCAGTTCATCAGGCACATAACTGAAAGGCTGAAGCAGTTGTTGCATAAATCTTTGTCTTTGTGTGTGGGAAAAACAATTCTTTTCAAGGGCGTGGACATGTCATTTGTCTTGAGATTTGACAACTTTAAAAATGAGATAGAAAGCCAGTATTTAAATTTAACCAAATGTATGCTTTATACCAAAATAAATATTTTATTTTCTTAACTAATATTTGTTTATCTGATTCTGTTTTGATGTCAAGCTGGAACTAACAGTGATGTGGACAAAGAAAAAATGCTGCTGTCTGTAACAAAAAAGAAAAATCAGTAATGCTTCATTTGTTCACCATGATTAAGTGTTCATTTTTGAAGGAGTTTAAACTTGTTCAGACTAGTTCTTTCACTCAGCACTTTGAGTTTCCAAACAAATATGATGTTCAGTGGATCAGATAAGAAGAAAATACTGCAGAAATTTTCTAGATCATGTTCTATAATAAGATATATATTTCTAAAACTTGAACAGAGGAAACGATAGAATCTCCAGGTGAAAATAGTTCATAACATACTTAGCAGCTCTAACTTGAAGTTAAGCTTTTATTTCAATAATCTGACAACTTCATTTGTGGGTTTCTTTATTATAATAACTTAAATCTGCATATTGGAGATATAGGTTATTTTATTTCAGGTCTCTCTGTAACCTGCACAAAAACAAACAGGCTTATGCACACTCTTACATCTATCTATATATAGATAAGTATATCTTATCTACACATAACTAAGATACACTTAACTATGTTTATTTTTAACACATAGATAGGTGTTAAAAATACATAAATACATAGCAATCAATTAGAAAGATGTTTATTCTTTTATATAGCTCCAGTAACTTGCAAAAGAAACCCTGCCTGTCTGAAATTTTTGGTAGGGGAGGAGGCAAAGTACAGCTGCTTACGCTACAATTAAAATGTTGCTCTTTACATATTTCCTCTTCTCTACAGCATCCACCTCACTCACATGCAAATTAGTTGTGACATCAGTTCGCAACAGCCAATGGTAACATTCCTCAATAATACTGGTTAGACTCTTACATGTGCTTCTGCAATGTAAGGAGAAAAAAACCTGTTTAAACCTGCGATTTTTTTTTCAACCACTGGTGAAAAGAAAAATTTAAGATTCTCTCAAATCCAATTCTCTTACAGAGCACATTTAACAACAAATGGTGCACAGAAAACAAAAAATCCTTAAAATTCAGATGCAGCAGACTGCTAAAAAAAGCTTCTTTAAACCATCTTATAAAAATACTGTAAATTTGTTATATCTTATTTTATTGTTTTGTTCAAGGTATAGTTTTTATTTCAGTATGATTCAAATCAGAATTATAGCTTGAGCAAAACTAATAAAGTTAGTAGTAACAAATTAGAGTGTTTTTTTTTTAAGTTGGTTCATTCTTTCAGTGCACTGACTACCCATGAGAACTTCTCTTCATTAACACCAGTAATTTCAGATTGGAACCATTCTATCGGTATAGATATTTTAATATAAGACAGTGTCGCGTGGGGAAAAAGTTCTTTATACCGATTTAATGTGATATATATAAACCCAAAAGTTACTTAAAGAAACTATTTTTTTCTTGTTGTTTTTTGGGGTAAAGTACGCTGAAAGCTGAAAACAACAATGTGAAATACATGACATCTAAAATAAAGAAAAAAAAACTGTGTGTGACGGAGGAGCCGTCACGATCGGAGAGTCCCTGTTAGCAAACATGCACAATTATAAACTTACCTGTTTCTTTTCCTTTTAGTTTGGATTGAGGCGATTCATCGTGGGTGCACACGCGGTGTTTTCGTTTGACGTTCATTCTAATCGGTTATTTTCAGGTACATGTTTTTCCGGTTTCTTTGGGGGGAAGTTGTTTCCAGTTTGGAGCGCACCGGGAGCCAATTACGTGATGTGGCGTAGTCATCACAATGTGCTGGTTGTTTTTGTTCTTTTGTTTGGGTGTATTTTGATTATAAATGTATTTATTTTTTCTTCCTTATTGTTTCTTATTGTTATTTTAAGGATTTGAGTTAGAAATAATTGTTTAGTTTTTGTTTTGTTTAGTTTAGTTTTGTTTGATGGGACTTCCTCTGGGCGGAGCCTGTAGCTATAAAAGCAGGGCTCTGTTTCATAGAGGGCAGTCTGCACCTAGGCGTGAGAAGTGTCACATTGGAGGTGATGAGCTGCGACTTGAAGGTACTGCTGTGCTGTGTTGATTTTTAAGTCATCTTGGACATTTTTGTAAATATTATGCATTTGCCACTGTTGATTCACTGCACTGATAAAAAAATAAATCTCACTAAAGTAATCCCTGGCCTTGGCCCGTCATTTTTTTGTGGTGGCCCAAGTCATAAAAGAACCCCGTCACATATGGTGTCAGGAGTGGGATTATGACAAGCCGGGGAAGAGGGTCTCGTTTGGTGAAGCAAAGATCTGGTCTTCGATCACAATCAAAGATGGAAGAGCAGATGGCTGACAAAGCATGGGAGAGCATGCCGACGTCGGATGGATCAGATGAGGAAGGTGAAACAAAGCCTGGCCCCAGTGGATCAAGTGCGTTTGGCAGTGAGTTTTTCACTTTGATGAAGGACTTTATGGCAGGTCAGCAAAAGCGAGAGAAAGGGCTGCTCAAGGAACTGCAAAATCTTAGGATGTCTTTGCAGCAACCACAGCAAGTACCACGCCCTCACCTTCAGCCAGGAGCTGGTGCAGAGCAAAGTGATGACGATGATGATGGTGGTGGTTATGATGGTGATCCAAGCCGGCAACCTCAGCCAATAAGTTACACCACTGATCCAAAAATTCCTCCTTATCAATTAGGAGAAGACCTGGAAAACTATCTGCTGCGGTTTGAGCGCATTGCTAAGACCTGGAGGTGGCCAGAAAGTGAATGGGCGTGCCGACTCATTCCACTCCTTTCTGGGAAGGCGCTGGAGGCCTATGCTGCCATGGATGAGGAACGTGCTCACTGCTACAAGGACTTGAAGACTGCTTTGTTAGCAAAGTTTGACATCTCACCAGAGACTTACAGACAGAAGTTCAGAGCAACAAGTACACCTGCTGGTGAAACTCCTACTGAAACTTACCACCGTCTTAGAGGTCTCTACCGACGATGGATCCGTCCAGACCAGTGTTCCAAAGAGGACATCGGGGAGCTCATCATCCAGGAACAGCTGCTGAGCGTTCTGCCCCCGGATGTAAGGACCTGGGTGAAGGAACATGAACCTAAGGATGGTCTGACTGCTGCAAAGTTGGCTCTTCAGTACATGAATGCACGGCGAGGAGGAGGAGCACGTTGCTCCAATCCAGTACCACGTCCTGTTCAACCGGCTGGACATCAACGGTATGCCAGAGATCCAAGCCAGGAGGTTAAAGGTACCATCAGTCCTCTGAATCCACCGCCTAATGGTAAGACATTAATTTGCTATTATTGCCAGCAGCCGGGCCACAAGGCTTCGGTGTGTCCAATAAAGAAGACAAAGTTTACTGGTTCCTGCTATGCTCCTAGAGCTGAAAATCAGGCTGGAGTCAAAAACTTTGAAACTAGAACTCAGAAAACTGTGATTGTGAATGAACTGCAGGTGACTGCATTAATAGACAGTGGTAGTTCCACATCACTCATAAAAGAGAGTCTTGTATCTGTTGGATGTGTGAACTATGAAAAGAAGACTGAGATTTTGTGTGTCATGGAGATTGTCATGTTTATCCAAGAGCAGAAGTGACTGTCATTGTTGATGATCAACCATATTTGCTAACTGTTGGTGTGGTGAAAAACCTACCTTTTGATGTCATTTTGGGTACAGATTTACCTGTGATGTTTCACCTTTTGGGAGAGGTACAAACTGAGGGGGACAAAGTTAGCAATGCGTCCTGTCCTGTGATTACTCGTTCTCAGGCCAAAGAACAAGTTGAATCCTTACCTAATTTTGATGATAGTTTGTTTGAGGTTCCAAAATTGTCTAGAAAATCCAGAAAGCAAAAAAAATTTGAGAAAAAGCTACTGCTGGGTGGAAATGTGTCACAAGATTTAACAGTGGATGACATGTGGAAGATACCTGAAAATATTGCTACTTTACAGAAACAGGATGTGTCTTTACAACCTTTATTTGACAGAGTGGAGGAAAAAACTAATGCTAAGTGGAGAGGAAGAGAAACGTTTGTGTTAAAAGATGGCGTGTTGTATGCTTGTAATGAAAAACAACGGTTGGTAGTTCCAACTAGTTGTAGGGCACTTGTCATGCATTTGGCACACACTATTCCATGGGCAGGGCACTTGGGGCGTCACAAAACATTTATGCGTGTCAGCTCACGTTTTTACTGGCCGTCAATGTATAATGACATTAATGCATTATGTGCTTCTTGTCCTACATGCCAGAAGACTCGTCCTGCTCGGAAATCAGATCGGGCGCTCCTCCAGCCACTACCTGTCATCTCCACTCCTTTTCGTAAGGTTGCAATGGACATTGTTGGACCCCTAGTGAAGAGTGGGCGTGGTCATCAGTACATCTTGGTAGTATGTGACTATGCCACCAGATTTCCAGAAGCTTTTCCACTGCACACAATTACTGCTCCTACAGTAGTTAGAGCTCTGGTCCAACTATTTTCAAGAGTTGGAGTCCCAGATCAGATTTTGACCGACCAGGGAACTAATTTCACCTCTAATCTGCTAAAACTCTTTCATAAACAGCTTGGGATCTCAGCCATCAGGACAACGCCTTACCATCCACAGACTGATGGACTGGTTGAAAGATTCAACCAGACGCTAAAGAGGATGCTGCAGAAGTTTGTGAATGACACTGGCAGAGATTGGACCACTGGTTACCATTCCTTCTCTTTGCCTATCGTGAGGTGCCACAGGCATCAACCGGGTTCTCCCCATTTGAACCCCTGTATGGGTGGGATGTTCAAGGACCTCTAGATCTGCTGAGGAAAAGCTGGGATGCATCAGAAACCTCATCTAGTGCCAAAGGTGTGGTCCAGTACGTGCTGCAGATGAGAGGTCGGCTTGCTGAGTACCAGGAAGAAGCTGAGAAGAACCTGTTGCAGGCCCAGCACAAGCAAAAGAGGTGGTATGACCAGCAGGCACGGCAAAGGGTCTTCAGTCCTGGACAGAAGGTGTTGCTTCTCCTGCCCTCATCCACCAGCAAACTTTTGGCAAAGTGGCAAGGACCCTATACTATCAGCCGACAGCTAGGACCCACCACCTATGAAGTCTACCATCCTGAGAAAAAGAAAGCTACACAGGCTTACCATGTGAACTTGCTAAAGGAGTGGAAAGAACCATCATGTCCAGCTCCAGAAACATCATGCCTGTTGAGACAAGTGGAGGAGGAAGAAGAGGTTCCTGGTATTGAAGTGAAGGCTGGACAGTCAACCCCCAACCTCAGTCACTTGACCTCACACCAAGCCTCACAACTTCAGCAGATCTTTCAGAAACTGTCTCCTCTCTTTTCTTCCAATCCAGGCCGGACCACCTTGATTGAGCATGCAATTCGACTGAAAGAGAAGCAGCCAATTCGTCAACGCCCATATAGAGTTCCACAGCAGTTGGTGGGACAGCTGCGAGATGAAGTCGAGGCCATGCTAACATCAGGTATTATTGAACCTTCAAACTCTGAATGGTGCAGTCCAGTGGTCATTGTGTGTAAGAAAGATGGCTCACTGCGGATTTGCATTGACTTCAGAAAGCTTAATGCAGTTTCAGAGTTTGATGCCTATCCCATGCCCAGGGTGGATGAGCTGCTGGAAAGGATTGGACAAGCAAAATTCATTACCACACTTGACCTGTGTAAAGGGTACTGGCAGGTTCCCTTGGAGCCTTCAAGCAGACAGTATACAGCATTTCGCACCCCTTCTGGTCTGTTTCAGTTTACTGTTATGCCATTCGGCCTGCATGGTGCTCCAGCCACCTTCCAGCGGCTAATGGACAAAGTACTGCGAGGAAGTGAAGACTACAGTGCTGCTTACCTCGATGATGTAATCATTTACAGCAATAGCTGGGAGGAGCATGCTGCACATCTCGCAAGAGTGTTGGAAAAGATTGCAGAAGCAGGACTGACACTTAACATATCAAAGTGTGTTTGGGCACAACAGGAGACCAGATACCTGGGTTACCAGCTAGGGAGAGGAGAGGTGCGACCACAGATGGACAAAGTGGAAGCAATCCAAAAATGCCCTCGTCCTCGAACCAAGAAGGAAGTGCGGTCATTCCTGGGACTAGCTGGTTGGTATCGAAGGTTTGTGCCTCATTTTGCTACACTTGCTTCTCCACTCACCAGTTTGACAGCGAAAGATCAGAAGAATCCTGTTGTGTGGACCAAGGAGTGTGAAACTTCTTTTAACACTCTGAAAGCTCATCTATGTTCATCTCCTGTCCTTCGAAGTCCTGATTTTAGTAGGAAATTCCTGGTCCAGGTAGATGCATCCAAAGTTGGTCTCGGAGCTGTCCTGGCTCAAGGAGATCCTGGAGAGGAGCAACCCATACTCTACCTGAGCCGTAAGCTACTACCTCGAGAGGTGAGGTATTCTGTAGTGGAAAAAGAAGGCCTGGCAATTAAGTGGGCTCTGGAAAGTCTCAAGTATTATCTGCTGGGCAGAGAATTTGATTTGGAGACAGACCATCGGGCCCTGACCTGGATCAACACCATGAAAGACAGTAACCATCGTCTGACTAGGTGGTATTTGTCCTTGCAACCTTACAAATTTAACATCTGTCATAGGAGTGGCAGACTTAATAAAGTGGCAGACTTTCTTTCTAGGTTGCCGAATTTCGCCAACCTTGGAGAGGAGAGGGGTGGTGTGACGGAGGAGCCGTCACGATCGGAGAGTCCCTGTTAGCAAACATGCACAATTATAAACTTACCTGTTTCTTTTCCTTTTAGTTTGGATTGAGGCGATTCATCGTGGGTGCACACGCGGTGTTTTCGTTTGACGTTCATTCTAATCGGTTATTTTCAGGTACATGTTTTTCCGGTTTTCTTTGGGGGGAAGTTGTTTCCAGTTTGGAGCGCACCGGGAGCCAATTACGTGATGTGGCGTAGTCATCACAATGTGCTGGTTGTTTTTGTTCTTTTGTTTGGGTGTATTTTGATTATAAATGTATTTATTTTTTCTTCCTTATTGTTTCTTATTGTTATTTTAAGGATTTGAGTTAGAAATAATTGTTTAGTTTTTGTTTTGTTTAGTTTAGTTTTGTTTGATGGGACTTCCTCTGGGCGGAGCCTGTAGCTATAAAAGCAGGGCTCTGTTTCATAGAGGGCAGTCTGCACCTAGGCGTGAGAAGTGTCACATTGGAGGTGATGAGCTGCGACTTGAAGGTACTGCTGTGCTGTGTTGATTTTTAAGTCATCTTGGACATTTTGTAAATATTATGCATTTGCCACTGTTGATTCACTGCACTGATAAAAAAAATAAATCTCACTAAAGTAATCCCTGGCCTTGGCCCGTCATTTTTTTGTGGTGGCCCAAGTCATAAAAGAACCCCGTCACACTGTGCTTAAATGCAAAACATGCCACATAAGACATAATCAGGTTTTAGGGATTATTTAAGTATTTAACAATAAGTGTAATGTTCAGTTACATGCTGTAGTAACTAAAAATTAAACAATATTTTCTTATGGTTTTACACATGTTGTCTTTTGCACTTCAGGAGCACCATCCTGAAACATCACTTATTTAGAAATGGCTTCTAACTGATTACAAAATAATGATATCACCACAAATACTGAAATCATAATAAAACTTTAAATTACTTTGCAGGTTTGTTTGTCTGATAATAATCAGCTATAATATCTATATGTGGTATTTCGCTATTTGCTTCTTCAACTCATTTTTCATGCGTATGTTGTCATGACCTAGAGGAACGTGTATTCAGGCGGATGTTTCTGATCTCGTGTCCTGAGCTGTGGAATAATGTAAGAGCAGTGGTGTGTTGCTGCTGTGGCTGGGGGAGCGTGTTGCCATAAAATATTAACGACTTGGAAGCCCAGCCACATGACAAGATGAATGTAATTGGCCCTCGCAGTTCTATCTGTGCATGTTAATGAGATGGGATGGTATTTAAATCAGTTGCAAACCCTAGACAGCACGGCTGCAGTGTAGAAAACCACAAACAAAGACGCAGTGAGATAGACACAGAAAATGTCAGCACAGGAAAGCCTCCGCCAGCATTTCTTCTAATTAATATTGTTTGTCTGAGCAGAACAATGTTTTGCTGCTGAGCCTTTTGAATGACTTGACTGAAATAATGAAAGCCAAATGTGAGATTTGTTTCTATTTATTTCTTTCAGCTTTTGAGTGAGAAGTTAGGAAAAAATGGTAGGTCTTTAATGGGAAAGGATTAACAATTTCTGGATATCACACATCTCCTAGTTTTCAATTAAAACCAATTTTGTGCATCACTATCCTGCCACCGTTTAATGAGACTTTGTCTGATAAAGTAAGCTCAAACTATAATTATGGACCTATTTAAATCTGAAAAACTTACAATGATCTATCCCAAAATGAATTCTTCACTGAAGAAATAATTATTTTAGAATTATTCTTTATCCTTTACAAGAAAATTTATGGCTCTTAATTTTTGGATTTCTGGTAAATTGAACTGATTAGAAGAAAAATTATAAGACGTGTTTCTTTGCTTCCAATATCCTGACAAGCCTTTTGTGTGACAGCACTGTGTGCATCCTCACTGCCACATTGTGAAAACAGTTAATCAGTTAATCACGCAAGACTGAGTGGACAAAGGTGTGCTGCGTCAAAAAGGTGGACAAAAATATGTTGTTTGTTGTGTTCGTAAGTGCATGTATGTTTGTTTTTGTGCAGGCTAGGAAGAGACCTGACGCCTGACGAAGGGTGGGGGGCAGAAGGACAGATGGTCTGCCTCATGGTGGCTGAAATAAAAGAGGGAATTAGAAGACTCCAAGGTGTACACTCTGACGGCAATTACAGCAAATAGATTGGAAGTGGACCTCTAGGCGCCCAGGGAGATCACTGCGGGGGAGAGCTCCACCTCACTGCATCTGGTTCCTACGCCCTGAAAGATTTAAGATTAAAAACACACACTCACACACGCACACACACGCCCACACACACATGCCTCAAGTGTCCTCAGAAGAAGCCAACTATCAGCATACCTATGTCTGTCCAAACGGTGTCAGAACATGGAAAAAAAGCAACAAAGCGCAGAGAAAATAAACTTCATCTGCACTATAGAGTTTGAAATGGATTTCTATATAACCATTTTTCTTGGGTGGAACGTCTTGCTGAAGGATTTGCAAAACCAATTTCCGACATCCCTGGGAGCTGTTTTTGGTTAGTTATTCTGCTGCCTGCAGGAGTTTGAAAAACAGTCAATTATTTTTGTCTTGCTTGCTTCCGCCCATCGATTCTGAAACGATTTTCACAGCACCTCCAAGTAAGGATATGGAGCAATTGAATTAAATAGACCCACCCAATCAATATAAAATATGTAAAACATTCACAGTTCTCTTTCATTGCCCGTGGAAATAAGAATTCATTGCAGATGAAAATGCAAACAAAGTGAAAAGATATTTTTTTTATGGATCTATAAGTGCATTTATGAAGTTTACTGATAGCCATCAAATATTTCAAAGATAAAATATTTAATGTGTTTCTTCTGGCAATATTTGTGCAAAGAATCTTAAGCAGAGTTTGGGTTGCAGTTTTTCTTTCCTGATACCATTTGGAGCAGTGGGGATCAGTGGATTCCATTAGTCTTGCCCTGTGGCTGAATGAGTAAAGTACCATTTAGAGTCAGTAACCCCAAAACCTTGAGTTCCCATCAGTGCATAAATGATGAAGATGGTCTAATGAAACAAGCGGCTTCCTGCTACAGCCAGTCATAAAAAGAACATTCGGGTTTCTGAAACTTCAGTCCGTTCATTAATCTTTCAAAACTTTCGCTGTTTGTTCCTGCTCCTGAAGTACAGGAAGACAAACTCAAGAGATTCAATCATCGTCTTATCATCTGTGAATGCTATGGTGCCTTGCAAAAGGATTCACCCCACTTATTTATTTTATTTTTTTAAATTTAGGCACAAATCTCTTTTCAATGAAGGACTCGGAGATTTGTTAGAGCAAATCAGGCAACAAAACTCATCATAAAGACCAAGGAACTCAGCAGACTGGTCTGAGAAGTTATAAAGGTTATAAAACAATGTCCCCAGGTTATAACATCTCGCAGAGCTCTGTTCAATTCATCATCTGAAAATGCACAATTGCAAACCTGCTGTCCACCCAAACTGACAGGCTTGGGAGAGCCAAGGAGAGCATTAATCAGAGAAGCAGACGAGAGGCCCAAGGTAACTCTGGAGGAACTGGACCTTTATCCATGCAATCCACAAATTTGGTGTTTATCTTGGAGTGGCCTGAAGAAAACTATTGTTAAAAGGAAGCCACATGTCATGTAGGGTGGCAACTAGTTATTGTTTTTGGACTTAAATACTCTGTCATAAGTAATTAAATAATCAACAATGTTTTTTAAATCTTCTGTCAGTGAATCTTGTGTTTTAAGGCACATGTTACTGCTGTATCAAATCCCATAAACAAAACCCAACATTCAGTAAATTAAAACATTTCAGAGATGTTTGTGTATTTTAGTAACTCAATTCACGATGTGGGACACATTTTATAGATAAATTATACTAAAGTTGTCTGCTTAAAGAAGGTGGAAACATGAAATTTATGACAATAATGTTATAGACAGTTTTAATGTGGAAATGGGAGCTCAATGAAAAGTATGTTCAATGCCTGTTGAAAGCAGGTATTCAACCGTTAAACCTTTTGAAAACCTAACGCTCTCGTTTCAAAAGATACTTCTATTAGGTTTTAAGTGTCTTAAACTTTAAATTTGAGCTAAGCAATTGTCACTAAAACTGTGAAATAGTCCTTCAGTAAAGTACAATATTAGATTACAACATCAACTCTGTATTTACTTTTGTTCCTAACATGTTAGCAAACTCGCCTGGAATGACTTGTCTTTGACTAATCAATGGACCTCTTTGGTCATTCAGAGGACAAGAAAGCTTGTTAGCAACTAGAATCTCCCATTGAAACAAAGCACAGGTTCATCTTCTTGTAGGACTATACTAAGCTTGCTAAAGGGATACTGAAACAACTGAGACTAAAAGTCTAAAATTCAAGTTTTACATCAAATGAAAGATCTGTTTCAAGAGTTGAAAACGGACATTTTCAGATGCTTTTCATCTTAAGCCTGAGCTTAAGCTGTTTCCAAAAAGAAAAAAATGCCAAAAATATTTAGTCTGTGAATGACTAAAGCCAGCTGAGACTTATCCCAAAAGGTCCAACCGCTGTAATTACAGTGAAAAGTGGTTCTACAAAATGATAAGGGGAGGCTGAATATAAAACACATGCAGTTTTGTATTTTTATTCATGAAAAGTTGACAAAACATAGAAAAGCTCAAGGGGTTTTAATACTTTTTTCCAAAAACAACATTTATAATCCTACAAAACACTAAAAATAGAATGAAAGGGAATCAATTGGAACAATGTCTTCGAGTATGCATAGTCAGGTGCACAGGTCTATTTAATATAAATGTCCATTGCTGGCCACAAAAAGAATAAAGTTCTGGAGTTTCTGCATGGTTACCAACTGCATGCATTCTTATGAAATCTACACACATGGCTTAAAAGGAAAACAAGAAATCAAGATTGTATTGTATAAAATGTAAATAAGGCCAACTTTAGGCCCATGAGTTATGGTCTCCCGAAGAAGCTGCTTTCCCTTGTTGCATATATGCATGAACAGTATATCACTTGCCTCTTGGAAAACAAACAAAAAGTGGGAGAAACAAGAAAACAAATGCATTAAAGATAATTAGGCAGAGCTCATATGTAACTGACAAAAAAAAGAGTTTGACAAACAGAGAGAGAATAGTAGTAACAAACATGGTTTGAAATTTGCAAAGCTGTTGTCTGCAAAAGTCA